AGGTAGCCAGGTGCATACAGATTGTTTCCGACAGCAATTGGACCATAGCTTCCAGCACTTCCAAATAGGCCTGCGGTGATACTGGATGTGAAGTCATTCAAGAAAATACCATTAAAGGCTGCGAGCTGCAGACTTGGCAGATCAATTGATGCTGACAGATCGCAAGTTTGTGTTACCGAAGGTGATGAAACAGTCGTTGATGTAGTTACTATTGATTGTCAAATCCAGAAAACGATTAATAATTCTTCACAATAATATAAAAGATTTTTTACACTATTTCAATACCTGTACTTAATGATCCTCCAGTTACACTGCTTGAAGTGGAAGCAACACTGGATGTCGATGTCACTGACGAAGGTATAGTAGACGATGCCATTGAGGATGATGCTACGGATTGATAATATATATAAGTATTGTTGATAGAAGACGGAATGTGCTCTGAAGACATTGGTTTACAACATATGTTGTTGCCAAACGTACCTGAGCTCGATGACGTTGTTACGCTAACCGATGACGATGGTAATGTGCTAGTGCTAGTGGTATTTCGATTGGGAACACATCCAAGGAACGATTTACACAAGCCGCCAGATGCAGTTGTAAAATCTAGAATGTTAACATTTGATGTTTCCCAACTAATAGAAAGAAACACCGTCAGCTTTGAGTTTCTCGGAACACTTTAAAAACACTTTACACTTACTTGTAGTTATACGAAACCAACAATCCAGCAAAGTTTCCAGTGGGTCCATCCAAGATGGCAGCTGATATTTAATATTACAGTTAGTAGAGTGCTTCTGATCAATGTAAGCAGAATAGAATATAACAAACCATTTGGAGCCAAAATCAATCCTTGAAGAACTGATTTGGTGTTGCGAGATAGTGTGATAGGTCCATTAGTATGTGAGCCGTCGATATTCACTGCATAGATATTCCAGATGGTTCGACATGGATCTGTGCCAACGCTAGGAGTATCGGCATCAATTACCAAAGCTCCTCCTACTGCAACAGGTACCTAAAAGTCACAAAGTAAGTATCAGGAATATCTGAGCCGCATATAACTGAGAAGGTTCATTACATTGATCACCAAAGTAGCGCCAGTTGGCCATTTGGTTCCAGCAGTCGGTCCTTTATATCCAGAAAGGTTGGTAATCACCCCTGAGGT